CCAGTCCTATTTTTTATTTTATTTAGAGACAGGATCTCAGTGATTTGCTTAGTGCTTCACTTTTGCTGAGGCTGGCTTTGAACTCTGTATCCTCCTGTCTCAGCCTCCAGAGTTGCCACTGGGGTTACAGGAGTGCACCACTGCACCTGGCAGTACTCCTGTTTTAAAGTGTTAGGAAGACTTAGAGAACTTAAATTCATTCTCTCTCTCTCTCTCTTTTTGTTTGTGTATGTGTGTGTGTGTGTGTGTGTGTGTTTGCTGGGCATCAAAATCAGGGCCTCCTGCATGTCAGACCAGAGCTCTACCACTGAGCCACATCCCTAACCTGTGAACTTGAGTTCTTAAAAAGTATCTCAAAACCCATAGTAATTGGAGTTTGAAATTAAGTTTTCAAAGTTGGATGTGGTGGTAGATGTTTGAATCCCAGCTACTTTGAAGGCTGAAGCAGGAGGAGTGCTTGAGCCCAGAAGGTTGAGATCAGTCTGGCAATACAGAGACACTGTCTCAAAAAAAAGAAAAAAAGAGGGAGAGTTTTCAAATCCGAGTCTTCATTACTTCATTTCTTTTATTTACTCTATAGAAACAGTACTAACCTTAGGAATGATACTTTCCTAAAGTTGCATTGTTGTGGTCCAAAATTACATATATTTTAGGTGAGTGAGCTTAGGAAAAAATTATTACTTACTCTTTTTTTGTAGTGAGGATTGAACCCAGGGGTGCTTTATCACTGAGTGACATCCCCAGCTTTTTTGTTTTGTTTTGTTTAATTTTTTTTATTTTGAGGCAGTGTCTCACTACATTGCTGAGACTGGCCTTGAACTCAAGATCCTTCTGCCTCGGCCTTTTCAGTCACTGGGATTACAGGCATGTGCTACTGCTTCTGGCTATTATTATTTATTCTTTGTGAAAATATTTTTACATATATAGCAGTATTGATTGTTAGATTTATTAACATATTTCATTTGCTTAGAATTCATAGGCTCTTTGCTTATGGTAGAGTCTGTTACTAATTGAGTTGAATAATAGGCTTTCTCCCTACTACTGTTTCTGGATTTATAACAAGCTGGAACTCTTTGTTTAGTTTTTTGACCAGGAAAGAATTGTAGCTGCTTCATCAACAGGATGTGTAACAGTTTTTCTCCATCATCCAAATAACCAGGTAAAGAACTTTTATTTGAAAAAAAAGTTTGTATTTTAGTTATTTTTAAGAAGGCTTAAACAAGATTGAGTTTAATAATGACAGAAATAAAACATTGTTAAAACGTGAAGGGAGCTGGGTGTAGTGACATGTGCCTGTATCTAGCTACTCAGGAGACTGAGGTGGGAGGATCTATTGAGCCCAGGAGTTGGAGACCACCCTTGGCAATGAAGTAGTAAATGTAAGACCCAGTTAAGTATTTTTTTAATGGAGTCAAAACTGCTATATAAGTAAAAGTATTTTCACAAAGAATAAATAATAGCAGCCAGAAGCAGTAGCACATGCCTGTTAAGTGTTTCTTTTTTTTTTTTTTTAATATTTTTTAGTTATAGACAGACGCAGTATCCTTGTTTATTCATTTTTATGTGGTGCTGAGGATCAAACCTAGTGCCTCACATGTGTGAGGCAACCACTCTACCATTGAGCCACAACCCCAGCCCAGTATTTCTTAATGAAGTCATTTTTTTAAAGTTGAAGAGATTTATTTAAGAATAAAATTCAGGGGCTCTTAAATAGAAGAGCATTCCCAAAAGAATTTAATGAGTAAACAGGGCACAGTGTTATATGCCTWTAATCCCAGCTACTCAGGAAACTTAGCAAGACCCTGTCTCAAAGTAAAAAACAGAAAGATCTCAGGATGTAACTTTGTGGGCAACTTAGTAAGACCTTGACTCAAAGTGCTTATCTACCCTGTATAAGATCCTGAGTTTAGTACTCAATACCAAAGCGAAAAAAGAAGAATTTAAATAGCTGCTTTTGAACATTGAACTGCTTGATATCTAAAAATGATTACTTTGCTTTAAGATGAATATGTCACATTATTGGACAACATTTTTTGTGAGTCTAATTCATTGTGTACGGAGCTTCTAGTAGTTTTTAGACATTACTAATCTAAAGTACAAATGAAAWAAAGAGTTATTCTTTTTCTAGAAAGGTCAAGATAGAATTTTAAAATACTCTTAAGGAAAAATGCTTGGTCTTTGATTAAAAAGTATCCTCATCTCTAATACTTAGACTCTGTCAGTCAACCAGCAGTGGACAGCAGCCCACTACCACACAGGGCCCGGCAGTCCTTCTTATAGCAGTGCCCCATGTACAGGCATTGTGTGTGACAACCCAGAAATTGTCACAGTTGGAGAGGATGGTCGAATAAATCTCTTCAGGGTCGATCACAAGGAAGCTGTAAGAACAATAGGTAAGAAAAATCATCTTATTTATTTTTTCTATCATATTAGTAATTGAACACTAAAAATGCAGAGTAAGTACAGGGTGAAGTGTTTGAGGAGTATTAAAAACATACAAGGCAGAATCCCTTGGTCAAAGGCAGCATATCCATGAGGACAGAGTGAGTGACTGACTACAGAGGAGAAAGAGATGAATTCTTTTGTTATTTTGGGGGACCAGCTAGAAGGGATTCTTTATTAGATAAAGAATCAGGAAGGAGATGACAACTTAATCTAGGTTGTAGATGATAAGTAATACTAAAAAATGACAATACCAGACATTGGCAACAGCATGGAGACAGGGTGAAGCTATACAGGAAATGACAAAAAAAAAAGTTTGTCCTGACATTAGTATTTTATAGGAAAGATGAAAGATGAAATCCAAAAGGTAAATTGGGACCAGTTTGCAAAGAATCTTGAATGCAGAACCATTTTGGTGGTGAAAAATTAAGGTGCCATTGTAAGTTTTTGAGCAATGGAGCGATATTCTCTGTGTCATGCTTTAGAAGGATTAGTCTAGTGTAGCATTTCTAAACTATGCTTCACACAGACTTGTCTGCTGAGATTTCTAATAGTCCATTGCCCTAGATCTTTTTTTTTTTTTTTTTAAAGATTTTTTTTTTTTTTTTAGAGAGAGGGAGAGAATTTTTTAATATTTATTTTTCAGTTCTCGGTGGACACAACATCTTTGTTGGTATGTGGTGCTGAGGATCGAACCCGGGTCGCACGCATGCCAGGCGAGCGCGCTACCGCTTGAGCCACATCCCCAGCCCTGCCCTAGATCTTTTGGACCAGAATCTCTAGGGATTGAGCCAGGAATCAGTTTTCTGTGTTGTTTATTATGATTTTTAGTTTTGAGTTATATCGTTTGCTGCTAGTTAAGGACTGTTGCCTGATGGCAGTGTGAAGGAGTGGCACAAAATAAGACTCAAAAGAAAGTATAAAAGTTATGTTCTATAAATTCTAAACCCTCCAGGACACTTAAGAAAAGGACCTTTATAACAATGAGGAAGGACTTTGTGGCGAAAGAGGAAGCTGATGAGGGTGAATAGATTTGAGATGTGTCAGCAGTATGATAAAAGGTCAGAGTAGCTCTGTCAGATCAGTGGGTTTTGGACCCATAGAGCTTTGCATCAAGGACTAGCGGGAAATAAGACTGAATATAGAGGAGCTTGAACATATCTCAGAAATGTATGGTAACAATTTTTTTGAGGTGGGGGGTTGGTACCAGATTTTTATATTTAAAGGAATGGTAAAATTAAAGAACATAAGTCGATGTTTTGTTACAACTTAAAGAAAAAAGGTGAAGGTAATCCTAATGTGCATGCACTGCCTTGACAACTGGAGAAGTCACTTCCACGGCTATGGGGAAGTCAGCCTAAGGTTGAGCTTTCGTTATCACTATCTTCAGGGTAACAGTCTTGAGGGGAAATAGAAAAAGGAGTACCTGAAAACTCAGCTCTCCATTTAGAAAACAATTCAGATGTCCCATGCGTGATATTTTTCTCTCTGAGGAGAATTTGCCTGAATGCGTACACTACTGTGCATTTTTCCATAGAAGTCAAATTGTGACTGATTGGAAACTTCATTTGTAATATTTTGATAAATAGATGCAATGCAATTTAAGATTTTCATGAAAAAAGGRATCTATTAAACACACTGCCATTTTATAAATTTGTAGACAATGCAGATAGCAGTACACTCCATGCTGTAACCTTCCTTCGAACTCCTGAGATACTTACAGTAAATTCAATTGGACAGTTAAAAATATGGGACTTCAGACAACAAGGAAATGAACCTTCTCAGATATTATCATTGTAAGTTTTGATTTGTTATTTCAGTAATGCAATGCAAAATCAATTTGTTCAATTGGTTATGACAGCTGTCTTTAAAAACCCTTTTTTTCCTTCAGTACTAGGATTGAACCCAAGGGAGCACTACCACTAAGCTACATCCTCTTCACTTTCTATTTATTTATTTTTAATTGGTGCTTTATAGATATACATAGAGGTGAAATTCATTGTGGTTTATTTATATATTCACATTGTATAGTTTTGTCCTGTTCACTCCATGTTTCCTCCCCTTTTCTGTTCCTCTTCCTTCTAACCCATTGATCTTTCCTGAATCCTTATATCTGAGCCATTCCCCCTTTTTCCCCCTTATTTTGATCTAGCTTCCACATATGAGAGAAAATATTTTCTGAGTCTGCCTTAATTCACTTAGTGTGCTGTTCTCCATTGCATTTGAGGTAGTGATTCCTAATTAAATTTGACAAAGAAAGAATTATGTGGTGGACTTGACGCTCTCATGTTTTATTTAGTAAATATTTGCTGTATTGATTCAGAGCCTTCATCTTTTTGAAGTTTTTATTATTTAATGGAGAACTTATTTCTGTTTATCAAATGATTTTATCAATAAAGGATAAAATACACTCTAGATGTTATAGGTGGAAAATATAATCCAGAACATTTTTCTGAGCAGAAATTCCCATTTCTAGGTGTGTAACATTCACTTCTCTCTTAAGAAAATGGAGTCTGTCAGACTGAATAAAAGTTATTTAAAATAAGCATTAAATAAAATAGGAATAAGGAATATTTGAGTATAGTTGATAGATATTTTCTTAAAACCCTAAAAATGGAAATGGGTTCTGTCCATTTTACCATCAGATTATCTTGTTTCTCCATTTCCACATTGAAGAGAGAATGAATACTTTTGGCCTATAATTGTAAATTGAAATGTAAAATTACATATTTTAAAATTACATATAAATGTAAAAATGAGCTTTTTTTTAACATTTATAAATACATTTAATCTCTTTACTTTTTTGGCATTATTATTTTTTGGTTTTGTGGTACTGGGGGTTGAACTTAGGGTCTATGTATGCTAGGCGAGTACTCTACCACTAGCTGTATCCCCAGTCTTAGCAGTGGGATTGAACCCAGGGGTGTTTTACCACTGAGCCACATGCCCTGCCATTTTTACCTTTTAATTTTGAGTCAGGATCTCACTAAATTGCTGAGGCTGGCATCAAACTTGTGATTCCCTATGTCAAGATTACCTACGTCAGCCTCCCAAGTCTCTGGGATTAGAAGTATGCACCACCATACCCAGCTTGGCATCATTAAGCCACATGACTAGCATAGTATTGTAGTTATTAGAATAAAATGTTTGTTGGGTTACACAGAATTGTACTTTACCTTGTATTTGATATATTTGTATTTCCCACAAAAGGACTGGTGATCGAGTGCCACTTCACTGTGTTGACAGACATCCCAACCAGCAGCATGTTGTAGCTACTGGTGGCCAGGATGGAATGCTGAGTATTTGGGATGTTAGACAAGGTACTATGCCTGTATCTCTGCTGAAGGCTCATGAGGCTGAAAGTAAGTATTATGGAGATATCGAAAGTTTTTATTATATGAGTTATATGACATAAGCACCTTGGCATAATGGTACACATAGATCATTTTATGTCATAGGTTTTAATGTCTGAATTGTAAAACTTTAATACCTTTATGTAAGCTATGTGAATGTTAGTGGGTGGGGATTACTGGGGATTGGACCTGAGGCCTTATACGTAGTGGTATTATACATAGTGGTAGGTAAGGACTCTACCACTGAGCTTCATCCCCAGCCCGAGGCATATTTAAGCTCCAAAACCATAGGAAATATCTTTAGGTATTTATCTATGCATTTCTTTCTTTCTTTTTTTTAAAAAAATATTTGTTTAGTTGTAGATGAACACACAGTATCTTTATTTATTTTTATGTGGTGCTGAGGATTGAACCCAGTGCTTCACACATGCGAGGCAAGCACTTTCCCACTGAGCTACAGCCCCAGCCCTATGCATTTCTTTTTCTTTTTTTTTAAATTATTTTTTAGTTGTAGATGRACATAATATCTTTATTTTATCCATTTATGTTTTTTATATGGTGCTGAGATTCCAATGCAGTGCCTCAGGCATGCAAGGCCAGTGCCCAACCGCTGAGCCACAACCCCAGCATATGCATTTATTTTCTTAGGATAATTTTTTTTTTAACATTTATTTTTCAGTTACAGGTAGACACAGTATCTTTTTTATTTTTATGTGGTACTGAGGATCAAACCCAGTGCCTCACACTTGCTAGGTGAGCACTCTACCTCTGAGCCACAAYCCTTACCCTGCTTAGGATAACTTTTTAAAGGTAGAATTGATTGGCTAAAACTTTTGCATAATTTTAAAGCTATAATGCATGTTGTCAAACCTACATAAAAATAGGTTATATTGTCATTAAGTGTGTAAGAATGCCTTTTTTCCTAATCAAATAGAGACTGTTGTTTTTCATATGTACTAATCTTTTGTGCTTCTCAATTTATCATTGCATCTTTTTTTTTTAAACAAGAACAATACATAATGTCAATCAATGGAAGGGTAACTGATGTGATACAGCAATCTGTATACGGGGTAAAAGTGGGAGTTCATAACCCACTTGAATCAAACCGTGTAATATGATGTATTAAGAACTATGTAATGTTTTGAACGACCAATAATAAAATAAAAATAAATAAATTAAAAAAAAGAACAATACATAGCTATTGTCATACTAAAATAGATTATATTTAAAAATTCTGGTTCAAAAAGTTTCTATTAGATTCTGCTTGAATAAAAATACAAGAAAGCTAATATTGCAACTTCTCTGTTTAAATAAGTTTCACATTATTGCCAGGAGCAGTGCTGCACATCTGTAATCCCAGGGACTCAGGAAGCTAAGGCAGGAAGATTTGCAAGTTTGAGGCCAGCCTCAGCAATTTAGCAAGACCCTAAGCAACTTAGTGAGACCCTGTCTCAAAAAATTATAAAGTTCTCAGGATGTAGTGTAGTGGTAAATCACCCCTAGATTCAATTCCCAGTACAAAAAAAAAAAAAAGTAGTCACATTATTACCTTGGAAAGAAATGACTTTATGTTCAAGAATCAAATAGCCAGGTGTTGTGGCGCATACGTGTAATCCCAGCAGCTTGGGAGGCTAAGGCAGGAGGATCCCAAGTTCAGAGCCAGCTTAGCAACTTAGTGAGTCCCTAAGCAATTCAGCAARACCCTGTCTCTAAATAATACACAAAAAATGGCTGCAGATGTGGCTTCGTGATAAAGTCCCTATGTGTTCAATCCCTGATATCCCCCTCCCCCTCATAAAAAAAAGAAAAGAAAAACATCCAGCAAATAAAAGGACAGGAAGTTGTTTGCCTCTCCCAGGTTATATAACTCTGCCTAAGAACACAAAAGGATAAAAGAGGAATAAGATATGCCCTCAGACATTTTGATTTGGGCTAACCTGGTGGAAGACTCACAAGCTTTCAGATTGATCTCCCTTTTAAAAAAAAAAAAAAAATATTTATCTATTTTTTTGGTACAAAGAATTGAGTCCAGGGACACTTAAGCATTGAGATACCTCCCCAGCCCTATTTATTTTTGTTTTGAGGTAGGGTCTCCCTAGTTGTTTAGGGCCTCGCTAAGTTGCTGAACCTGGTTTTGAACTTGTGATCTTCCTGCCTCAGTCTTCCAGGTCAGTGGGGTTACAGGGTTGCGCCGCCAAGCCTGGCTTTTTTTTTTTTTTTCTTTTGTGGTGCTGGGCATCAAACCTTGGGCCTCACACTTGCTAGGCAAGAGCACTCCAGCACTGAGGTATATCCCCTGACCCTTTTTTCTCTACTTTCCAACCCTCTTTAATTGGCAGCCTAGTTAAGCAATGTACACACAACTGCAGTGGCTTTTAATGTTTTGCTTTGAATTTATCCTGCCTCCTAACTAGTAATGAATTGAAATGTTTTATAGGGGGTTGTTTTCTAATTTGAAAATAAATGCATAAAAAATGTAGATTTGGGCAATCTGCTCATGGCTCTACACAGGGTATTGTGTTTCGCGGTTGTTTTTTTTTTTTTTTTTTAGTTTTATTTATTTTTTTTCCCACTTTGTTTTAATGAAAGAGTTCCCACTTTATGGGAACACCTCTAGAATACATTCTTCTCTCCCTCCCTCCCTCTCTCTCTCTTTCTCCCCCCTCTCCCCCCCCTCTCTCTCTCCCTCCCTCCCCCCTCCCCCTCTCCCCCTCCCTCTCTCTCTCCTCCTCCCTCCCTCCTTTTTGTGATAGTATATAACTGTCAGAATGAAGGTTAGTTACCACCTCACAAACCTGTGTCATTCTTTTCATGTCATAATTCAAATACTTCCTATACTGATTCTTCAAAGTGACCTAGCTCAGATTCAGAACCATTGTTTACAGTTTTGCCTGCATGCTGTATGTAGCTTTCTGGGGAATCATGGCTATTCATTGCCTCCCAGGTGTCTGTGTACACAAAGTTCCCTTAAAGTTTAGAGCTGGGGTGAAGGGTGGGGTGGCAATCCCAATATGGCTTCTTGAAATTCCTCCACCTGAAACTGGATCCAACTTTTGGAACATTTCCAAGTTTTGGTGTGCTAGGAGCTASTTGCTATTTCTGTGATGTAGACCAGAAGTATCCCGAATCTTGACTTGAGCCAATATTGAATTCTGCCTCTTAGAAATTGATTTGCATTTATCTTTCTTTTATGGTCTTCTCTCAGTCGTTCCAGTAATGTAACCATCTATTAAGGACAGGAAAAAAAATAAGAGAATTTACCAGTTGTTGTTTTTTTTTTTTTAATTAGTATTTTCAGTATTTTCCATAGTCATTCTTTATTTTATTTTATTTTATTTTTTGTGGTGCTGGGGATTAAACCTAGGGCCTTGTGTATGCAAGACAAGCACTCTACCAACTAAGCTATATCCCTAGACCTCCGTGGACATTCTTAATGTATTTCCTATGTTGGTACTTTTGTTGTTGTTGTTTGTTTTGGTTTTTTGGAAACAGAGATTGAACCCAGGGGCACCCTAACCACTGAGTGACATCCCTGCACACCCTGCTCCCCACTCCCTTTTTTTCTTTTGAGACAGGATTTCACTAAGTTCTTAGGGCCTCACTAAATTGCTAAGTCAGCTTTTGAACTTGTGATCCTCCTGCCTTAAGACTCTGGAGCCACTGGGATTATAGGCATGTGCCATCACACCTGACTGCATTTCATATTATTATTATTTTTTTAATATTTAATTTTTAGTTGTAGTTGGACACAATACCTTTATTTTATTTATTTATTTTCATATGGTGCTGAGGATTGAACCCAGGACCTGACATGTGCTAGCCAAGCACTGTACCACTGAGCCACAACCCCAGCCCTGCATTTCATATTATTATACTTAACATGACTCATAATCATTTAAAGTACCATCTTTTGAAAGGAAATCTTTTTTTTTTTTTTTTTTTTAGTTTAGATAGACACAATTCTATTTATTTATTTTTATGTGGTGCTGAGGATTGAATGCAGTGCCTCATACATTTGAGGCAAGTTCTCTCTCTACCAACTAGGCTACAAACCCAACTTGATGATCTGTTTTGAGATTGAATTTATTGGGATTGAATCCGGGGCCTTGGGCATGGTAGACTAGCATTCTAACTCAGGTCCACACTCTTTTTTGCCCCTACCCCCACCATTGTTCTTCTTTTTTTTTTTTTTTTAAGAGAGAGAGAGAGAGAGAGAATTTTAATATTTAGTTTTTAGTTTTCGGCAGACACAACACCTTTGTTTGTATGTGGTGCTGAGGATCGAACCCAGGCCACACGCATGCCAGGCGAGCGCTATACTGCTTGAGCCACATCCCCAGCCCCTCTTCTTCTTTTTTTTTTTTTTTTTTAATAAACCTTTATTTATTTTATGTGGTGTTGAGGATCGAACTCAGTGCCTTATGCATGCAAAGCAAGCACTCTACCGAGTTATATTCCCAGCCCACCACTGTTATTCTTTTCCATAAAAAAGTATAATAGGTTAAATGATTTAGTGATTTATTCATTTTCTGGCCCAGTCCACAAGGTTATTTACTTGACTTCATTTTCCTTGGTACATATTTCAACCTTAGGGAGTTATATTCTCTTTTTAATTTTGAAGACTTTGATTTGAGGCTACATACTTGAGGTTTGTAGGTATGTAATAGAGCTTGATAGAAGTCGGAGATAGGGTTTTTATGTTTTGTTCAGGCAATCTGCAGAGGAATAAACTTCTTGGTTTTTATCTTTTAGTGTGGGAAGTTCATTTTCACCCATCCAATCCAGATCATCTATTTACTTGTTCTGAAGATGGATCCTTATGGCACTGGGATGCCTCCACAGATGTGCCTGAAAAGTCCTCACTCTTTCACCAAGGTAAAAACGCCTTTTTTTTTTCCCTTATGTGAAAATTTCCTTTATGATTTTTTTTTGTGGTGAATTTTAAGGATATATTTGGCAATGTTATTTCTAAGCTTTTTTACTGCTAAGGTAAAATATTACTTTTAGTTGTAAATGGACACAATACCTTTATTTATTTATTTTTATGTGGTGCTAAGGATCTAACCCAGTGCCTCACATGTGCTTAGTAAGCATTCAACCACTAAGCTACAACCCCAGCTTCAGGCAAAACATGTTAATGAAAATTCTTGTGTTATTGTATGCATTTAAATACTAAATTGAACATTCTCATATATATTTTTTTAATATCTTTATTTTTATGTGGTGCTGAGGATCAAACCCAGGGCCTTGCCTGTGCTAGGCAAGCACTCTACCACTGAGCCACAACTCCAACCTGATGTTCTCATATTTTTAACATTAATGAATGACAAAATGTGCTGGGTTTCTGTTCTCATGTCTAAAAGGCTCAGGGGTTACTGCAGTTGAACTGGGCTKCGCAAAATAACCACACAAGAGACACAAATACCTTTTTCTTTGGGGTCGCTGTGACGCCTCCTCTGACCTTAAGGGTCCGCAGAAAAAGAGAGAGCGAGAGCACGGGCTGACCCCTTTTATTGAGGAAAGCTATTCAAATGAGGCAAGGGGTCAGGTTTCAGGGGGCTGAGTCTATCTTCATGATGTCCACTGTCAGCAGGTTGACTGACATCTGGGTAGGCCACACCCAAGGGGGCATACAATAAGAGAAGGGGACATACACAAGGCACTTCCATGGAAGATTCTATCCTAAACAGTGCAAGGGGTTATATTACAAAGGAACAGGTGAGCATAGCTTCACTCATGGGGCTGTAGCAAGACACACCCATGCATGAGACACCGACCCTCGAACCCAAGAAGGATGGGGAAAGCTCTGCCACATTTCTGTGACTGAGTGCCTCAGCACCCGGCAAGGAGTGAGACTTAGTCACGTGCAATGTTGGTCTCTCACAAAAATGTTTTCATTTTCTTGTTTTAGGGTAAATTTGAATATCATAGGGCTGAAATCTGACTGTCGACGACTTATTACCATACTCCTGATGACTAAAAATGCTTAGCTGGCTCACTTCACTGAATCTTCAACCAAGATTCTTTGTGAGTGACTGTAACTGGGCCCTCAGGCGTAGGATAGGCAGCTCTTTTATAATCATATTGGTAAGGAAAGGTACATGCAAGAAGAAAATAGATCTTTTATGTATTAAGAAATTTGATTCTGGACTGAGGGATATAGCTCAGTTGATAGAGTGCTTGCCTCACATGACAAAGCCCTGGGTTCAATCCCCAGCACTACAAAGAAAGAAAGAAASAAAGAAAAAAGAAATTGTTTCTTCTTAGCTCAAAAAGACTTGTCTCCTGATTAAAATCAGTAGTGAGTAAAGCTCAGCCAAGAACTATGCAATTATATTCTAGGTTTTTTATTTGTTTGTGTTGCCTTTTCCAAGCTTTGAGGATTTACCTATGGTTCCAAAGTTCATTTGTTCATTCATTCAGAAACCTTTACTGAATGCCTGTCCTCTAAATGTGTTAGGGCCTACAATAGTGAGCAGGAAAAAAATGTTTCTATACATACAGAGCAAAATCTAGCTGACAGTTTTTAAAAAGTATAGCCTGGCAGGATGTGCATGCCTATAATTTCAGTGAGTCAGAAGGCTGAAGCAGGAGGATCACAAGCTCGAGGCCAGCCTCAGCAACTTAGCAAGACCCTATCTCAAAATGAAAAATAAAAAGCACTAAGGATATGGCTCAGTGATAAAGCACCGCTGGGTTCAATTCCCAGTACTGCAACCCCTAAAAAAAAAAATATATATATATATATATATCAATAACAGCCCAATCAGAAAAATCCAAACTACCCAGAATATAGAAAGAGTTAGTTTCACATGTGTTAGAAGGACTGGAAAAACAAAAGGGAATTCAAGGAGTGTTGGTAGTGCAAATAGAAAAGGTGATAACCAGAAAGCAGAAATCATTAATACCTTTGGTGCTACATTTTTGGAAATGCTGTTAAAGTTGATTCTGGATTAGCAGGAAAAAATGCCACCTCAACCCAGCCTGGAACTGCTGCCAGTGCTGCTGTTGCCAAAATCCTGGAGCAGGAAGGGAGCTGCTTCTCTCCTCCTACGCCTTCCAGTCGCCCACATAGTACCTCCCATGGTAGGGTCCATCTGGAAAGCAGATGGCAAGGGATCCTGGAAAATGGAGTTTGCAATACATAGTACAGCACAGCAAAAGGGACTGAAAGCAAAAAAGAAAGTAGCTGGACCAAATGTACTGATAAAAGGATAAAGGAAGAGTGAGGGGAACGACTCTAGAGTAGTCGGAGATACCACCTGACAGAAATAACATTTGAGCAGTCACCTGTGAGAAGTGAAGGTGTGAATTACATGAATGCATTCCAGGCAGAGGACTTGAGAGGCAGAGCACAGCAAGGCAGATGTGGCTGCCATTCAACTACTAGGACAGGGGGATTGTAGGTAGTAAGGATTGGTTGTGGAAAGACTGAGGTTTCCAAGAATCACTGGTGCTACAGAACATAGACTATGTAAGAGGGGTGAGGATGGTGGAAACAAAGACAGCAGGAAGGAATGGAAACAGAAAAATGGAAGCAAGAAAGGAGTCTTGTCACAGTGGTTGTGAATAATTCAAATTGTGAACATCTCTAATCCTAAAATCTGAAATGCTCCAAAATCTGAAATTTGTTTTTCCCTGACATGGGGCTTAAACCCAGAATTACTATACCACTGAGCTATATCCCCAGTCCTTTTTGACACAGGGTCTCCCTATGTTGCTGAATACCTTGCCAAGTTGCTGAGGCTGGCCTCAAATTTGTGATCCTCCTGCCTCAKGTTCTCTGGTAGGTGGGATTACATGGGGTTACAGGCATATGTCACCGTTTCTGCCCAAATCTGAAATGTTTTTGAGGATCAATATGATGTCACAGGTGAAAAATTCCACACTTTAACTTCATGTGATGGGTCACAGTCAAAATGCAGGTATACTAGACAGGTATTGATTTTTTTCTGATTGGGCTGGTATTGAGATTATATACATATTGAGGGGTTGCAGTACTGGGAATTGAACCCAGCGGTGCTTTATCACTGAGCCATATCCTTAGTGCTTTTTATTTTTCATTTTGAGATAGGGTCTTGCTAAGTTGCTGAGGCTGGCCTCGAGCTTGTGATCCTCCTGCTTCAGCCTTTTGACTCACTGAAATTATAGGCATGCACATCCTGCCAGGCTATACTTTTTAAAAACTGTCAGCTAGATTTTGCTCTGTATGTATAGAAACATTTTTTTCCTGCTCACTATTGTAGGCCCTAACACATTTAGAGGATAGGCATTCAGTAAAGGTTTCTGAATGAATGAACAAATGAACTTTGGAACCATAGGTAATCTCAGCTCCTCAGGAGTCTGAGGCAGGAGGATCACAAGTTGGACACTAGCCTGGGCAATTTAGCAAGACCCTGTCTCAAAAGATAAAAAGGACTGGGAATGAAGCTCAGTGGTAAAACACCCCTGGATTTAATCCCCCTACCATTAAGATTTAAAAAGAAAAAATGTTGGCACAGCTGGGTGTGGTGCCACATGTGTGTAATCCCAGTGATTTGGGAACCTGAGGCAGGAGGATTACAAGTTTGAGGCCAGCCTCAGCAATTTAGGAAGGCCCTAAGCAAYTTAGAAAGTTGTCTGAAAATATAAAAATGGCTGAGGATGTGGCTTAGTGGTTAAGTTCTCTGGGATTCAATCCCCAGTACCAAAAATGCAGGCCCATTTAAAGTATTATATTAAAATTCCCTTCAGGTTATATGAATGGGGTTTATATGAAACATAAATTAATTTCATGTTTAGGCTTGGGTTTTAACCTTAAAATAGCTCATTACATTCCAAAATTTTAAACATATTCAAAATCTTAAACATTTTATAGCCAAGCATTGAAGATAAGGATATTTAACTTGTATATTAATTTGAACCGTATTCAAAAGCAATGTAATATTTGGGAGCACAAAACAAGATAAACAGTAAAATGATGGAAAAAAATTCTGAAACTTCACCAGAAAAATTCTGAATAAGGGGACTAGTGATGTAACTCACTGGTAGATCCTATATTTAACATAGGCAAGCCCCTAGGTTCAGTTGCTCAGCACCTTCCCCACAAAAAATTCTGGACAGGTATGGAATGTATGTAACATGTATGCATGTCTGTAACTTCATTTATGGAGAAACTTAATAGTTTTATCTAAGCATATGTTAAGTACTTGTATTTTATTTCCCTTCTCTACTTCTACTGTGTTATATTTGAAATCTTACATTTTTAGAAACCTTGGTTAGATTGGAAGTAAAATTATTTATTATATTTTGTTTTCTACTATTGCAAAGCATGATATTAGATACTGTGAAAACGTAAAACAAACATAAAATATGCAACCTCCTCTTGAGAAAGTCTTGGATTTAGTTATGGAGAAGGGGCATGGAAAGTTAAATCATGGCAAAAGGAACTAACAAGATAGTAATGTTTAACACAGTGCTGAGGGTTCTGGGATGGAAGAAAGAAACATGAATTTAGAGCTTCTTCAAAGATTTCTCAGAGAAGAAAGTTGAGCTGGACTTTAAAGGACCACAAGGTTTAATATTGTACATTTGACTTAAAATTAATAGGTTAATTTTAAATTAATTTTAAAATTATTATTATTATTATTATTATTATTATTATTATTATTATTAGTTGTTGTGATGCTGGAGATCCAACCCAGAGCCTGGCATGTGCTCTTCAAGAGCTTTGCCTCTAAGATACATATCCAGCCCCTAAACCTACTAATATTTAAGGATTCAGGATTTTGTCTTACATTACCAACACTTAGCATAGAGCCTGGCACATAGTRGATACTYACCTATGTGTTGATGGAATGGTATATGAAATTTTCCCTTTTATGATCTGAAAGAAAGTTGAAAAGAACGAAAATTGCAAATAATAGCTGATATTCTGTCTTTGCCTCATTTAGTTCTATATTAAGTGCATAGCAGTGTTAGGAATGTTTATAATCTAGTCATGTTCTAAAGTTTTCCTTTTAGTTTTCCTTCTAAAATTTCCTTTATCTTAAAAGGGTAAGAATAAAAGATCTAAAACAAATTGATTATACTTAGAATCATAGAAACATTTAAAAATACATTAGGAAATATTTACTTAGAAATATGCACAAAACAAACAGAAATTTTTTGTGAACATTTTATTTGTTGTTATCCAAGAGCTTTTATTTATGTTATTATTTATTTATATATATTTACATATTTATTCTACTTATCCTCAAGTCTTTGTTGCTTCCCATTAAAAAACAAACAAAGAAAATAAACTGTCTGCTTTACATGATGATTTAAAGTTAGGTATCCATATTTTCCCTTGGAAATTTGAGTATTTAATAATACTGAATAAGTCTTTGGTAAAAAATGACAACATGTGATCATGGAATTATCTGCCTGTCATTCTGAGAATTAATACAAGTTGGACTCATTGTCTTTCTGAAATATCAGTAGAGGTTTAGATGTATACTAACATAAAATTAGTCTTGAAGTCTTGAAAGTTTTTTTTCCCCTTTTTCTTTCAGGAGGAAGAACCAGTACTTTTTTGACTCATAGCATTAGTAACCAGGCTAACGTTCACCAATCTCTTATAAGTTCCTGGCTCAGCACTGATCCTGCGAAAGACCGTATTGAAATCACAAGCTTGCTTCCCAGCAGGACTCTGTCTGTGAACAGTTTGGATGTTTTAGGTCCTTGTCTTGTTTGTGGAACTGATGCAGAAGCAATATATGTTACCAGACAACTGTTTTCATGAAAATACTGGGAWTATAATATTTCAAGTTAAATATATAGTTAGCCCTTTGAATTACAACTTCTGTGCAAAACTTTATTATTGAAAAATGTGATATTTACAGGGGTCCTATCAGTAAACTATTGTTAATATCAATGCCCAATTTGGGCATTTGTTACTTGGGTATTCCCGCAACAGTTACAGAATCTGATAGATTGCTGATGGCACAAAATTTTGAACATGTGGAAGAACATCAGAGGGATCCTTAAGTTTTTTCAGGAAAAAGTGAGTAGAGCAAAAACGACAAATTTATAGTTGTGTTCAAATATTTTTATTATTATTTTCTGTGGATCAGTGGGTGTTGCTGGGGACTGAACCCAGGGACTGTGCATGCTGGGCACTCTACCATTGAGCTGTACCTGTAGCCCCATAAATTTTTTAAAAAAATGAAAATATACATGTTATCTTTGTGGATGCACATTTTCTGGCAGTAAACACATTATCATAATTTTGAACTACTAAATAATGTATAATAGTATATTTTACTTAATGGCATATTACATTCCATGTTCACACCTTTCACTGTTTATGATTATACTATATTTAATTTATATTTCTTTTACTTGTTTGTATTCTTAGCCATTTTTATTTTTGGAGGCAATTTAGCATCTTATTAATTTTTAACCTTTTATATATGAAGAATTTTTTGCCTGTGGTCCTATGATACAGGCAGCTTTTAATTTAGCTTTGGCTTTATTCATGGGGCTTTTTATAGAATTAGGCATTTTGTATATGGTCAACTCAATTGATTTCTTTACACTTTATGCCTTTGCTATCCCTACCCTAAGTTTATATAAATGTTTACCTATATTTCCCTCTATTTTGAGGTTTCATGTTTTATGTGTAATTACCACATTTTGAATTTATTTAGTGACGCCTGTGATCCCAGCTACCAGAAACTGAGGTAGTAGGGTACCAAGTTTGAGGCCAGCCTGTGTAACTTAGCAAGACTGTCTCAAAATAAAAAATAAACTGGGGATGTAGCTCAGTGGAAAAGCACCCATGTTGAATGTACCACACTCACATACATCTGAAAAAAAATTGGTTGGGGGGCGGTCTTAAGGATTGAACCTAGGGCTTTATGCACACTAAGGACAGTAAATTCCCATCTAGCCCCCTGAAATTTCTTTTTACACATTTTAAGCATAAAAATAAAATAATCTAATGAGCCCAGGTTTATCAGGAAACCCACCCAATTTTCATTTCTGATGTCATTCACTCCCCACCACCCCACCTCTGCTCTGGATCATTTTATTTTAATTTTTTTGGGGGATTGAACTCAGGGGCACTGGACCACTGAACCATGTCTCCAGCCCTATTTTGTGCCTTGCTGTTGCTGAGGTTGGCTTTGAACTTGGATCCTCCTGTCTTAGTCCTCCAGTGCATGCTGGGGTTACAGGCATGTACTGCTGCACCTAGCTTCACCATTTTAAAGCAAGTTCCAGATAATGTGTTATTGATAATTTACTGTGTGTGTCCTAAAAACGAAAACCCTCCTTTTAAAAAAATAAGCACAATACCATTATCATTCCTCTAATAAATTATTCTTTAATACTGTTAAATATTTAAGCAGTGTTTTAATTTCCCAGATTGTCTTATGAACATTTTTATAGTTGATTTATCAACAGATAAAGGCTAGACTRTTACATGTCTCAAATTACTTTAAATTCACATCCCTTATTTTTTATTTTTCTTTGTTACTTTTTGTATGTATCTACCTCAGGCTCCTAAGTAACTGCGATTATGGATGCATACCACCAWGCCCTCCAAGTTCTGCCAATTAATAAGAAACATAAGCTTTATTTAGTATAATGTGGTAATTTACCAATTTATTTATGAAATTAATCACATTTTCTTTTGAAGGCTACAGGATATCAGATGAAAGGTACCTTGGAGGCCATTTCCAATCTAAATGTGATCATCCCTCTGCAGCAAGTGCAACAAATTATTGTCCAGTTTATACTTAAAAACATATCCCAAGATGAGCACAGTAGCTTATGCTTGTAATTCCCAGCCATTGGGAAGTTGTGGCAGAAAAATTGCAAGTTGGAGACCAGCCTCAGCAATTTAAGAGACTGTCTGAAAATAAAAAATTTTTAAAAGCTGGGGATTAGCTTAGTGGTAAAATCCCTACAGTGCATGCTGGGATTACAGGCGTCTTTTTTTGCCCAGTACAAAAAAAAGTTTCCCATTTCACTGTGCAGCTTCTCATTTGGACAGCTCTAATTGATGCAGCATTGTGACAAGAGTTTCAGTTTATGGGTAAGATCCAAAACAATCCTGTAAAATGGTAGAATGGTTGTGGGTTAATGATATTGTGATTCTGTTATGAAACAAGCCAACTGCCAATTTTGTTATATTTGAATTTTCATTATGTTGGGATGCCTCAATGTGGGTTTTCACTAAATAAAATGAGTTTTTATATTCTGAACTGAAATTTGCTTCCTTTAATCTTATCTCAAGAGCCATAAAAAATCACTTAATTCTCAAATATTCAGATATTTAAAACTATGTATTGTAGCTTCTTCAGGAAGAACCTTTCTAATTTATCCTTTTAGTGGTTCCTTGTGGGCAGGGTTCCCTTCCCAATTTTTCTTGGATTCAATCTACTTTAGGACTCCTTTAGGATATCTTTTAGGTGTCATATTTCCTCCAGAAAGCCTTCACTGACTTCTGACAATTTGAGCTAAATTGTTCCCTGCTTCAAAAACCCATTGTACATAATTTAAGCAGACTGTCTCCCCCTACTGGGCCACAACAAGAACAGGGGATATGTCTTCTGTTGCATTTGCATATTTAACAGTATGATCCATAGTAAGCAGTGAATCACTATAATTAAATAGAACTCACAATCTTGTTTTCCCTTTAAGAAATAGCTTGTTTGCCTAACTCCCTGTTTTAAGTGTGACTTCAAAAAACAAACACTTTTCTATGAGGTGTCTGCCTTGCTGAGAGTATGACAGAAACCTTGCCATCCTTGTTCTGGGTACAGTATTCTTTTGGAATGCTGTATCAGCTTATTTTAATTTTTGAAAATTAGATTGCTGAGTAGTTGAACTTAAATCCCTAAGTTTTCACATATGAACTTCTAAGCACATTTTCCATATTTTTGGGTTAATGCAGATGGTTTCTGATCCTTATTATATGCTATTATTGTTCTAAGACAAATTTCATTTCAGCATAAGAAAGAACAATCTCCTTTGCCTCTTCTAAAGAAGCTACTTTCAGAGTTGCCCAACATGCCATCTACACCTTCATCCTGTTGGTTAGGAGATACATGCTAAATGAACCAAATTTCTTGGGCCCTTTGCATGATTCAATTATCAGTGACACATAAACCTTTGGTATTTGGTTACAAGTATTAAAATATTTATGGACAAACCTAATTTATTGACATGTCTTTCCATTTATCTTTTTCAGAAGGCTATTTTGAGAAAATAACTGCAATATCATCCTATCAAAAGTTGGGAATAACTGAAAAATTCCTTGACCTTTGTGAATATATGGTGGAAACATCCTTTCAATAATCCATTCCAGAATCTTAGATAAGAAACATACCAAGTTCAGTATGTTATAGCGAGCCTTCATTTAAGCTTATGGTATGAATATGGTATCTAGCCCATGCTAACAGAAGGTCTAAAGCAGTAATAGTGCTCGTGTTTTACAGATATGAAACCTGAGGAGAACCAAAATATGGTATGCAATTCCTTGATCTCTTTTTAATTGGTATCCTGAACCACTATTAATGTGAATTGGCAATGTTGAACAACTGAAAGCTGGTTTCTAAAAGTCATCAGCATTGGAACAATTTCTAGTAACATTTGCTACATTAAAGGTTAAAAAAAAAAAAAGGGCAGGTGGCATATGCCTGTAATCCCAGTGGCTCATAGACTGAGGCGGGAAGATGTGAGTTCAAAGTTAGCCTCAGCTATGGCAAGACAGCCTGCAACTCTGTGAGACCCTGTCTCTAAATAAAATATAAAATAGGGAATAGGATATGGCTCATTGCCCCTGCATTAAATCCCCAGTACCAAAAAAAAAAAAAAAAAAGAGAGAGGGCAGGGAACCACTCAGGATATGGGGAAGTAGAAAAACTATAGATAGATGATTAGGTTAAAAATCAATAATCAAAAATTAATGTTCAGGGCTGGAGCTCAATGACAGAGCACTTGCCTAGCATGTGTGAGGCACTGGGTTCAATCCTTAGCACCACATACACAAATATATAAAATAAAAGCATGCTGTTCATCTACAACTATAAAAAAAGTTGAAAAAAAAATGTTGAGGGCTAGAGATGTAGTTCAGTGGTAGAGTACTTACCTAGCATGTGAGAGACACTGGGTTTRATCCCCAGTACTGAAAGAAAAACAAAAACAAATTTGTGCTCAATTCCAAACTGTCATGACAACTTTGGCAGACAATAGGTGATAGACCAGCACAACTCAAAGCCATCAGAAATGCATTAACTCAGCTGGGCATCACAGAGCACACATGTAATCTCAGCTGCTCTGGAGGCTAAATTAGGAGGAACCCAAGTTCAAAGCCAGCTTCAGCAATTTAGTAAGACCATCTCAAAATAAAAAACTAGCTGAGGATGTAGCTCAGTGGTTAAGCACCTCTGGGTTCAATCCCTGGTACCACCCTCCTCCCTAAAGATGCATTTATTCTCAAAGTTAATTTTTGTATAGGTCATGGATTTATGAGGCTAAATTGTAATTAATACTAGACTATAAAATAACAGTTTTCAACAAGACAAACCCTTGCATAGGATAAATTAAACTTAAATCTCTTGTCAACACAAAGTCTGAGATTGAGCTCCAGCACCTCAAAAACTAAACAACAACCAAAAAAAAGTCTCTTAGAGAAATCCTAGAAGCAATGATACCCAATAGCAGTCAGCCCACTAGAACCCAGATTTGGTTTTAAATACCATTCTCCAATAAAAAGAACCAGGGCTCATTAGAAAGTGATGATTCCAGGATGGGACTGATATATGAGATAGCTTGGAGTATCTTGTAGTGGTGTATGACAAAGATACAGAAGCCAAATGAAAGCCACTAATGGGCAAAACTGGAATGATTCGAGTAAAAAATAACTGAAGTATAAAATATCTGGGGTCCATAGTGATATAAATATACGGATAATGGGGGGAGTGGCAAAGTAAAGTCAGAGCAGAAATCCAAGTAATGTATTGAAATTTTCTGCCCTCAAGGAGGTAGAGCATAACTCTCCATTCCTTCTGTGTGAGCTGTGCTAGTCTTCCCCCAAGATTATATTAATTTCTGGGAGGTCCTATGTTCTCAAGGCCATACTGATTTCCAGACTAATCCCATATGTACTTCTTTTGTACCTCCCTACTGTCTATTACCCATGCATGAAATGTAGCCCCTATTCCTCTGACGCATCAAAGACTGGATTAAGGGGTTTTTTTTCATCATGATAATAAAAAACCTTTAAATGCAATGCCATTTTCAAACATCCAGTCTTTCCCTGGCCTTTTATCACCATCAGCACCCACAGTCCCAACAACTTTGCATTTTATCTGTTCTTTCCTGATCATTTTTWAAAAAATTTTAATTGTAGATGGACATATCTATGTTTTATTTATTTATTTTTATGGTGGTGCTGAGGATAGAACCCAGTGCCTCACACATGCTAGGCAAGTACTCCACCCAGTGACTGAGCTATAACTGCAACCCCTTTCCTAATCATTTCTTCTTTCCTCATTCTTCTCACCCCTTACAAATACTAGCCTCCCAGACCTGTGTTAAACAATTTACTGAGCTCCTTGAATTATCTAGGAATTTCCCCAAAGACAATGGTTTATGGCGATATTTTCCTTTAGGTTTAYAGAGCTTGAGAGCTTAAGTGAAAAAGTTCCATGGGTTGGTAACAGTGACAAGATTCTGGGGATAGTGTGTCCTTCCAGTTAAATAACCTCTGAACAGAGCAAGTAAGCCCTTACATACAGCATAGAATTTTAGGGCCAAGTGTGACACTACAGGTTACTTAGTCCTCCTTTCTTTCCTTGAAGAAAGCTTTTTTTTTTTTTTTTAATTTTTTTTTTTAAAGAGAGAGTGAGAGAGGAGAGAGAGAGAGAGAATTTTTAATATTTATTTTTTAGTTCTCGGCGGACACAACATCTTTGTTGGTATGTGGTGCTGAGGATCGAACCCAGGTCGCACGCATGCAAGGCGAGCGCGCTACCGCTTGAGCCACATCCCCAGCCCTGAAGAAAGCTTCTTAATGACACTCCTGGAGCCATATCCGCTACATCCTACAAACTCTGTGATTGTATGGGAATTTTTAAATTTGTTTTTTTGTGCCAGAGACTGAACCAGGAACTTATAAGGTGAACTCCTAGCTTAAATGTTTTATTTATTTCTTGCTTGCCATACTGGCAATTGAAACCAGGGCCTGGCAGTGTTGGGCAAGAGCTCTACCAGTGAGCTACATCCACAACCCTTTTTGTTTTTTTCAAATTTTGAAACAGGTCTCACTAAATTGTCCAGGGTGGCCTTGAATTTATGACCTTTAGGACTCAGCCTCCTGGGGAWTACAGGTTTGTTCTGCCTGAAGTGGAATTCTTTTTTTGGAGGCGGGTGGGGGTGGTACCAGGGATTGAATTTAGGGGCACAAGGTCACTGAGCCACATCCCCAGCCCTATTCTGTATTTTTATTTAGAGACAGGGTCTCAGTGAGTTAGTTAGCGCCTCACTTTTGCTGAGGCTGGCTTTGAACTGGTGATCCTCCTGCCTCAGCCTCTGGAGCCACTGGGATTACAAGCGTGGGCCACCGCGCCCAGCTTAAGTGGAATCTTTTTAACAGAGGTATTCACATTTGAATTTAGGGATACAGTAGCCAGTAATTAATTTAACTTGATAAAAAGTAGCCTTTAATTTTTATAGTTAGTCTAGTACAAATATGTCAAAAGGAGATATCTGAAAGTACTAATAGTATCTATTTTCAAGAAGCAAAATTGGCAAAGATGCTCTTCGTTGCAAAAAACGGGCACTATCTTCCAACACCACAAACTAAATGACTCYATCCCAGACTTACAATTCAGTTTAACAAGAAATAGAGCCCTCTTCTCACACCTCCCCCGTTATTCCAACTGTGGCAATAACGACCTCCTCTTCTAGGATGAGGCGGACACACCTGAACTCTGCTCACCGGTCGGTCGTGGTTGGCGACATTGTCTGGCTGGTTCAGAAAACACACGTGCTCGAAGCTCACTAGACAAGAATCRGATTTTATTTAAGCCCTCGGATCTCCAATCCTCATGTCCACAGCGAGGTTTCCGAGCGCCATTCCCGGCCGCTTCCAGAGAATTGAGCTTCTGGGGACGCGACTCCCTTCTCTCCGTCCGGATGCACAGCTCGAATGGCTGAAGGAGCGACTGCGTACGCCGAGCAAGCTCGGGCGGGGAGCCTTCGGGCCGCGCTCGCGAGCGGGTCCAGCGGGCGCGGCAGGCGGAGCGTAGTGGGGCGACGCTCACCCACGCGCTGGGCGGCGGGCCACCGGCCCGAGCAGAGAGGCCGCAGGCGGCGCGCTCTCTCCCCGCGGCCCGGCAGTCAGAAGCCCCCAGTCCTCGGCCCCCGCGCAAGCGACGCCGGGAAATGCGCACATCCGGTAAATCGCAGCGGAGTGCGGCCGCGGCGACACGGAGTCGAAGGCAAAATGGCGGCGGCRGCGGCGGCGGCCTGGTGCTAAGGGGAGAGCCAGGTCCTCGCGACCCCTGCGACGGGCCGCGCCGGCCCGCGGCAGCCCACCGGCCTCTCTCCCCGCCCTGCGCCACCTGGGACACTCGGGGCCCCTGGGACGTGCTCTGGCCGCCTCGGCTCCTGCCCTCGGGCCCGTGGCCGCTGTCCAGGAGCCCCGCTCTCCCCTGCAGGTAAGTCCGGGGCTGCCGTAGCGGGTGGGGCTCACTCTCTCCTCCGGAGTCCGCTCGGCCGGGGCGGTGGCCGCAGGGGCCCACGCCCATCCCCGCTGGCGGGGGTCCAGGGGCTGCTGCGGACCGGCGGGCTGAGCCGGCCGGGTCCGGGCCTGACTTGGCTGGTCGCTTTGACCTGAGCTGAGCCCTGCCCTGGGGAAGCGAGGGTTGGCCGCACCGGGTGCTGCAGGAAGAGCCCCAGGCATTTCGGCCTCGGACGTGCAGGTCTGGCTGGGAAGAGCYTGCATTGCTGGCGGCCTCGAGGCGACTGTCCCCTCCCACCCCACCCCCAACTCGCTTCGGAGGGGCGGAAAGAGAAAGGTGGTTCTGAAGGAAAGTTGCGTTGAAAGAGCTACCGCAGTTCTTTGGACCGCGGAGGGCCCGGATCCTTGGGTATAACTTGAAATCGTGGGAATCTCTCCCTTACGCCTTAATGTTGGGTCAATGTTCATAGTTCGAAGCGATGGGACCGATGGCGGTGGATTTATAGAATAGGAATGTGTATATCAATTTCGGGAACTTTGTTTATTATAACTTGGAGCGCAAAGAATTACTCTCGGGTGATTTTATTTAATCCCATCCTCTGACTTCTTCAATTAAAAGTCATTTTTAAGGGAACAAAGTGAATATTTTTCGATTCATGTGAATGACTTAAAAAGTGTGTCATCGTCTAGAACTTATCGTTAGTGAGCCCTAAGTATCCTCTGTAACACAAATAATATTATCACTCCAGTTTTGTAAATGCACTTGAATGCCTGAGATTATGAAACTTGTCAGACCTTTATGAATTATTTATTGAAGGGTGAAAATGTTTATCCATTTTTCCTCCATGAGGAAGAAAAGGTAGGACAATTATATTCGGAATGCATGTTGCCTACTAAGATACCTACATTTGTGATTGCCTTACCAAGGTTTTCTTTTACCTTTAAATAAGTAGACAGATTGATTCCCTAAGGCGGTGGAAAAATTTGACTGATTTTTAAGTAGCATTATGTTCCTCTGATAAACTGTTACTGCAAGAAACTAGATCATAGCACATACTGTGAAAGGCACATTCTTTCTGTGCCTGTTGATTGATTATGCCTTGCTAGTCTCCAAAACAATAAAAAAAAAGTACTTCCACTACATTTTTTAATGTATGATATCTGGCCTTCATTTATAGGCAGAGTTTTTGTTTTGCTTTTAATGTTGGTCCTTGTTCTATATACATATTCTATGTGTATGTTCTATGTACATATCTTGGAATAGTCCCTCCTCTCATTATTTTAGATATGATATTTATATTAGTAGGTGACTTTTTTTACATCACTGTTAGTCATTGAGTAACTTTGTCCAGAAATTACCATTTTTCAGCATGAAGATAAAAATATACTGATTATTTTCGCTTTTTTTTTTTTTTTTTTTTTTTTGGTGGTACTAGGGATTGAACCCAGGGGCTCTCTACCACCAGGTACATTCCCAACTCTTTTTATTTTATTGAATTTATTTTATTTAGCTTAGCAGGAAGGTCTTGTTAAGTTGCTCTGGGTGGCCTCATGTTTGCAATTCTTCTGCTTCAGCCTTGCTAGTAACTGGGATTTCATCAGCTAGTTCTTAGAAAGTAAATGAAAGAAAATGTTTATGTTCAGAGATTTGTGAATATTGCTCTTTGAAAAACTAAGACTCTGCTGCTGCTGAGAAACACAACCAGTTATCATTGCTGATCTCATAATAACATAATTCAGACCAAGGTAACACTTTGAAATCTTATCATGTAATGGTACCTGTTTTTTTTTTTCCTAAATTCAACAAGAAAACAATATGCATTTGGGTTTACTGATTGTTGTATTTTTGAAGAGGGTCTTAAATTTCAAAACAATTGAAATTTTGTCTATTCAGTGTAAACAATGTAAGTGTCCCTTAAAAGCCTAAGTGAACATACTCTCTGCCCATAGAAAATTCAAGATGTAGATATGATGAAAAGAGGCTGAATTAGATGTGGAGTCCATTCCTAGCATTACCCAGCTAACTACATGACCTTATGTAGGTCTCTTTTAATTCATTTCATTGTCTATTTTAAAAAATATATGTGTACATATATTTTTTTTCCTAAATATATAGCTAGATCAATCAAGCTGTTCTTCAAGACACATTATCTCTATGAATCCCTGACCAGGTAAGAAAAATAAGACAAGAATATGAAGAGGACAAAAGCACGTTTTATTTGAATCATGCAAGTAGAATGTAGTTTTCAGAGGATAGTAGATCGAAATTCAATGAAAGTTTCTGTTAGGGGAGGCATTTGAATGAAGTCTTGAAGATTGGATATAATTTCTACAAGACAAATATAGCAGTGGCCCTTTCAATAAGAATAAACAGGATGTGCTGGGTGAGGTGGAACATGCCTATAATCCCAATAACTCTGGAGGCTGAGGCAGGAGGATTGCAAATTCAAGTCCAGCCTCAGCAATTTAGTGAGGCCCTAGCAACTTATCAAGACTCTGTCTAAAAAAAAAAAAAAAAAAAAAAAAAGCTGGAGATATAGCTCAGTGGTAAAGCCTCCCTGGGCTCAATTGTCAATACCAAAAAAAAAAAAAAAAAAAAAAAGGATGAGTAAGAACATGACAGTAGAAAAGCAAAAGGTATATTATCTGAGAGCCAGTAATTTGGTTAGAGTATAAGGTACAAGTATGGAGATAAACAGAAAATATATGTCAGAGATAAGCAGATAATAACTAAGTTATTATGAGTCAGGTGCTTGTTCTAAACATTTGACATGTATTTAATGCTCACAACAACCTATGAGATAGAACCTAATTTTGCCCATATTTGAAGATGAAGAAACTAAGACACACAGGTTAAGCAGCTTGCCCGAGGTCAGACAGCTAGTATGTGGCAGAGCTGGAGTCATAACCAGGTAGAACTTCAGAACCACTAAATTGAAGTTAAGAGTAATTTAATGTTATGTAATAGGGAAAGTGACATGATTAGAACTGTTAATTAGGAAGAATGATCTGGCACCACTGTACTGTTGGTTAAAGAGGTAAGCTGTTTTGCTTTGAAGAGTTCTTTTATTTGAGACAAGGACTCATGTGGTCCAGGCTGGCTTCCAACTTGAGATCCTCCTGCCTCAGCCTTCTGAATAACTGAAATTACAGRCAAGTCCCACCACACTTGGCTTTTTTGAAGAATTCTTTTAAAATTCATCTTTATTATTAATTTGAATTTTGACATGTCATAGTAATAAAGATTATTAAGATTTGATAATTTTAATATTGGCCATATCTTGTTTATGGGATTATAGATGAGTACACCTTGAAGGCAATCTAACAATAAATATCAGAATTTTAAATGCACAGTCTCTTAACACATAATACGAACACAGACACACACACGTATATACATATATATATATATATATATATTTTTTTTTTTTTTGCTGTGCTATGCACAGTGCTGGGGATTGAACTCAAGATCTCAAACATGCTAAGTAAGCACTATACCATTGACCTATACCCCTGGCCCTAGGCATTGACCTATACCCTTGGTCCTAGGCATTCACTTTGATCCAGTATTTCTACTTCTGGGAATTTATCTTAAGGAATGCTCAAGAATTTTTATTGCAGCATATTTTTATTAACAGAGTGTGTGTGTGTGTGTGTGTGTGTGTGTGTGTGTGTGTGTGTTGCTAGGGATTGAACCCAGGGCCTCCTTCATGCGAGGCACGCACTCTATCAACTGAGCAATGTCCCTAGCCCAACAAGCTGCTTTTCTAACCCTGAAAAAGATTTCAGTTTTGAACTCTTTTATTCCCTTGTATTTCTGCTTTCAAATTAGCTGCTGCTTTTTTGACTTATTTGTTTACTTATAGTAAATTTTTTTTACTAATCAGGAAAATGCCTCATTAGGCAGTGTCATCATTGTGCAAACATCACAGAGGCACTTACTCAAACCCAGATGATATAGATCAGTCACTCACATGGTCTCTCTTTGTGTTTGTGGGAGGGGGTGGTGGTACTAGGAATTATCTAGTGTGCTTCAAGCATATTAGATAAGTACTCTACCACTGAGCTATATCCCTAGCCCTTTTTTGTTTAATTTAAAAAAATTTTTGAGACATGGTCTTGACAAGTTGCCTGTCTTTGTCTTGAGCTTGGCATCTTCCTGCCCCAGCCTCCAGAGTAGCTAGGGTTATAGGTGTACACCACCACACTTAGCTTTACATGGTCTCTTGGTGCAGTCAAGAGATGCAATAAACAAGGATGTATGAGGCTACTGCTGGCATAACCAGCATACTGTTACAGTAAACTTTATTTTTTAATAAGTAGAAAGGTTACACTTTAATGATAAGTAAAATATAGTAAAAACTCAGTAATGTCATTTATCAAGTATTATGTAATACATAATTATAAGTGCTGTCTTATATGACTGGCATCACAGTAGATTTATTTACATCGGCATCACCACAGACATGGGGGAGATACATTGTGTTGTGATGTCATGAGGTGATAGGAATTTTTCAGCTTCATTATACACTCTTGGGACTACTTTCGTATGTGTGGCCCTTCACTGACTGAAACATTCTTATGTGGCACATAACTGTACAGTAGCAATCAATATATACTTCTGAGATTGCTTTTTCCAAACTCTTTTCATAGAATTATAAGAACAGTTATTATAGGCAACAGCTTTCCCAAATATTTTGTCACTGTGAATCAAGGTTCTCCATTTTCCCAGCGTCCAGTATCAGCTTCCAGTAGCTCTTAGCCTGATCACTCAGCCAATACTGCATAGGATTTTGTTGTTGTAGCACCTCACTTCTGGGTACCAATATCTGTATTAGAATAATAAGAAACTAAATATACAGATGACAATGGTCAGATCATATATAAAACTACAACTCAGACCTATATCCTTTATAGCAGTAGATCCAAATAGACTGGATTTAGTCTATATCTACCAGCTTTCCTAATTTTTATCCCTACCTCCAATTCAGTACCAATTAGAGAAAGCTAGATAAACTTCTCAAATCAATCAATTAAGGTATCCCCTTTCTAGTTATCTTACTTCCAACTTCCCCTTGGGAGCAATCTATAACATACTGTATAGTAGCAATCAATATATGTATCTCTATATATATCATACCTTGTCTTCTCTTTTTTTCACTGTGAAGCTTTCCCCCTCTTCTGCCTGTTTTTGAATCTACCAAGTACAAGTGGTAGTAGATGACTTCCTTCCTATAGCATGTTCCAAATAAACAGCCTTTGCTTGCTTTTATTTGGGCAGTCTTTGTTTCCACAATATTACTRACAATAATCCCAAATATCAATGGCTTAACAGAGATTTCTGTTTTGCACACAAAATCCAGTAATTGTCAAGAGACATTCCTTTAATATTAAGAAGCCACTGTCTTAAAATATGATCTGCATTGTCACCTAAACAGGAGAGTATTAGAAAAGCACACTGCCTTTTA